GAGAGGAACACATCTCGGAGCAATTTATATCTTTGGCTTTCTCTCTCGAGACGATAGCGACGCGCGGCGATAACACGCGATCTTAGCTCTCCGTCCGGCAGAGGCAAAGGAAAGAAATGAAGAAAAAGGTACGCTCTAGCTGTTGGGGGGACAAGCAGTGAAAAATAATTCGCGATAAACAATAATACGCGGGCAGGGGGAGGGTCGAAACTAGGGAGAAGGGGAGAGATCAAATAACGCGTCGGCCGTTGAAGTGGGACGCACGACTTGATTCGCCTCACCTCGCCTCGCCTCGCCTCGCCTCGCCCCGCCCCGCCTCGGCGCGGAGCACGCTCGGGCGAAACGAACTTTTATTAACGAGAGCTTTCACGAATTCGAGCGCGTTCCGCGCGAAAGAACGCTCCAATTTGTCCGCGTAGCGAGCGCGAAATGGAATTAAGGCCAACGAATTTGATCAGCGGCCGGAGTCCGAAATCTCGGCGAAAACACCGGAGCTCCGCCGACGAAGCGCGCCCGGAGAGGGACGACTAATGATGGTTACCGCTGTGAGTTGATTCTCGCTTAAAAGATTTACGCCGGGCAGCTTGCAAATCGAATAGCCGACCGGCTCGCCAAAGTAGCTCCGCGCTCGCGAGCGGAAAACCGCGAGCGACTTCGTCCCATCTCGCCGAGATCTTCAAGGCTGCGTCTTTTTTCTTTTTCTTCCTCTTTGCCTTTCGCCCTTTCGATCAGAACGCTGAAGGTTGTTTCAACGTTCGTCACAGCAATGACGCTTCTTCTCGCGACAAAATAATCGTGCGCAACTTTGACTCTGGGCTTTATACTTGCTATGTGTCGGATTTTTCATAGCGGCCTGCAGCCGGTCAAGAATGCAGTTCTCGCTGGTAGTCGTCGACGTGGACTGTATCGATATGAATCCTCGCATAAAGTCACGAGGTAGGCGGCGGGAATCTCCGACTGCAACTTTTCCGAACAACGCTCGCGTGAGGAATTTTCTACTCGCACTCGGATTATTCCTTTACTTCGCCGTCCACTCGTATCAATCTCTCGCCATTGTCACGATGAACGAGATGGAAAATTTTTTTCAAGCGTTGAATCACTGTAAAACTAGGCATCGGAACATGTGCGTTAAAATTGAGCGTTAATGTGTTATTTTGACACATTAGCTGGCGTTAAGGCGCTAAGTGCGTCAAAATAATTCGTTTTCTATGACAGAAGTGTGTTTTAACCCCTTGACTGTGGAGGCAGAAATGTACTAGTCGTGCCATTTTTGCGTTGGAAAAAATGTCGAATTTTCTTTATGATATTTTTATAATAAGGGTTTTTGGAGTCGCTGAATCCAAATTTGATATTAAAATTCCGAAATTCAAAATGGCGGATCCAATATGGTGGGTCAAAATTATGAAAATAATCGGATATTTATGAAAGTGGGTATCTATATGTTTTTGGGATCGCTGAATCCGAATCTGATATCAAAATTTCAAAATTCAAAATGGCGGATCGAACATGGTGTGTCAAAATTATGAAAATAATCAGATTTTAATGAAAGTCGGTATTTGTATGTTTTTAGAATCGCTGAATCCAGAAAATGAAATTTGATATCAAAATTTTAAAATTAAAAATGGCACACCATGTAACACACTACAGAAATTACTTTTCTTCAACAATCCCATGACACACGTAGAGTGTGTTATTTAGACACAGAATGATAATCGAAATACACTGAGAACACACTTGGATGATATATTGGATAACACACCAAGTCACGTAACACACTAGTAATGTGTTCATGATAACGCACTAATTTTGTTAACAAACGTTTAAATGAACACATATATGTGTATTAAGAAAAATACACGTGAGAAAAATACAAATCGACGAAATCGGCGATTATTCGCAACTTCAAAAAAGTATTGTATCTATTGAGCAAATTAATGTAATAATAACTACTTGCTTTCATATTATTACAGACTAAATCGTTAATTATATGTTATTCATTATTATATATTTAAACGTAATATGTTAAATAACGCGTGACTTAAAATGGAAGAAATGTGTAAGAAAGATTAATTTTCATTTACACGCTTGTGCATTTCAAAATAACACACTTGGATTTGCAATGTTGCTCAATTCACCTTCGTAACACACTTGTGAGGTGTGTTATTTTGATATACCTTCGTAACACATTTGAGATATGTTATTTTAATATACTTTCATAACACACTGAAAGTGTGTTATTTTAATACACCTAACCATTAACACACATACAAACGACGAGTATGTTAAAACACATACATAAATATGTTTCTTTTAACATACATATATGCGTTAATTTAATTTGCTGATTTTGTGCGTCTAAAGTGGAGACATACTTTAACACGCTTCAAGCATGTGATTGTAACACACCTCAGTTTACAGTGGTCTCGTCCGACCGATCACGATTTAGCCTAATCGGCAACGGACACATCTCGTATCGTTACCCCCATTTTTTAGAGCGAGCTACGGGCCTGAAAAAGGTCCCTGTGGCCGGCACCTGCAGTCGCGCCGGCGCACTGCGTTTGTTTTCATGCCGCGCTCTTCTAGAGCGAGACGACCGAACGCACGTGGCGAGGCGCCGCGTGGCCACATGGTCCTCGGCGGCGGAGTGGGGGAAGGCCGCGTGCCGTCACGTACGCGCGAGACTATGGCTTCCCGGAAAGGCGTCTGCGGAATTCAGTTATTGTTCTCGCGCCGTTCGCACTGACCTAACCCACGCGGCAGCGCCGTGGCCACCGATCGAGAACGCGGATCGATGCGGCGTCGATAACTCCCCTCCCAGGCGTCGCAGCGACCTGAAATAAGAAGCGCTGGGCGGGTTGGATCGTCGCGTTGCCGACGCAGGCGGGATCGCTTCTCTGGAGAATAAGGATCTGTCGGCGGGATTGCGTCGCGGGTGCGAGAGACGTCGATTTTTGCGGTCGCGTTAAAGTGCGATTAATCTACGTTGAGGGCCAATAGGAAGGCACGGTTTCGATTTGCCACGTAAGTATAAGGTGCAATTTGAAAGGAGAGGAAAATCACAATGTGGGGAATTCTCAGTCTGATTCGCGGATGTACGCGGGTGTTTAGTCCGTTGACAAATTTCAGACGTTAATTTGTTCCGCGGATTTACGCGGAAACGGCCGTGTCCGTGTGTGAGAGCGACTCGTCCGACTGTCATTTTTTTTCCCGAATTCGCGCGACGAGATATATTAACTTGACAAACTTGTATATTCGGAATTAGCGTCCGCTAACGCGTTGAAAATTACATCAATGCGGCGGCGACAACACGCAATAAATTTCGCGTATTGTTCCGAGCGCAGTGTCGCGTCTCACGTCGTTTGAATTACTAACTGACGGCCACTACTACTGACGGCGGTATCAATTACGCGATATTGACATTGTCGTTCTATTGTTACGTTATTACGAGGACAGCTATTACGGCCAGGTTATCTGGAACTCGCGCGTTTATTTAATCAAAGATCCTTCCGCATGAATAAATAACAGGGTTTGTCGGCACGGACGAGCCGTTGAGAGCGCAGAATGCGGGTTGTAGCGAAATTTAAATACATTTTATTACGCGCATGTACACACACACACACACACACGCGCACGCGCGCGCGCATTTGCAAAAAGTTATAATAATATATGCGTGTATCTTCCTCCTCCTCTTCTTTTTCTCTTTTTTATTTAAATACACGTGTGCGCGGCAGTGTCCTGTTTTTTCGACTTAGAAATCCGCTCACTCCGACGCAACGCAACGCAACGCGACGTGAAATATTAACAACGAAGCGAGCAACAGTAAAATCGCGCGCAATGGCACGCGCTCGTCTGGCACGGATTTTGCGCAAAAAAAAGCAGAGAAAATAAAAAAAACTGTCGTTCGCACACTGCACTCCAAATATCGACACGTCGACACTCGAGACGAGTTGAAACACTTTTTACATGGCCGAGCGAGAGAGAGAGAGAAATAGAAAGCGAGAGGGAGAGAGAGAGAGAGAGAGACAGAGAGAGAGAGAGAGAGAGAGAGAGAGAGAGAGAGAGAGAGAGAGAGACCGAAGGTAAACTAATAAATCGGGCAAATCGCTTTACGATCCACGTCCACTCGGCTGCGACTGCGGGGATGAATAGCGCGACGGTATGGCAGTGCATCAATTACTCGTTATAATGTCGTCAGACCGGTCGATGTCGCACGAGAACTAATTAACGAATCTTGGCGCGCCGGCGAGCTGCGCTAGTCGGGCCGCGAAAATTGAGAGAGCCGCTGGCTGCGACTAGCCGTAGTGGTAGGTCGTAGATCAGTCGCGAAAGATCCTGATAAACGACCGCGAGGATTAGATGGCTGATATATACAAGTTCGGTGAAACGGCGCCGTTCGGCGTTCGGCGATCGCGTCGCGGATTAAAACTCGATTCGATTAATTGTCCCGCCTTTATCGACGCGCTCGAGGAAGAGCGTGAGTCAGCTATTAATTCGCTGATATTGCCGGCTCCACGAGTAAGTCCCACTTCCCCTCCGCTCTTCCCCCCCCTCTCTCTCTCTCTCTCTCTCTCTTTTTCGGTCTTCCTTTCTCCTCGCCGCTGTTAATTGATGTTTTGATCGTATCAAATAAAATGTAATTCGCCGGATGCTATTAAAATGTTGATACGTCACGGCATGAAGTTGGAAATTCTGTTTTGTAAATTCGTGAAAAAGTAATACGAGATGAAACGGCTGAATTTTATATCGAATCCGCTTTAACTTTAAACGATCTGATTTTATATTTTCACAGTTTCATTTATCGCGCGCAGCCGGGATAGGGGAGGGCTGAGGGGAAGGGTGGACGCGCATTTACAGCTCGATGTCTGACGCACTCTCCGCTACCGTCAGCGCGCCAGACATTTCGTGAAAGGTCGCTTTAACTTACCCCGCGGTATCGCGCGCATCGCTATTTGCGGCACGCTTTTGATAAAACTCACGTTGCTATCGCGTTTCTGTCGCAGGTTATCCTCGTGCCTCACAGCCACACCGACCCGGGATGGCTGAAGACATTCGAGCAGTACTTCCACAGCTCCACGAGGAGCATTTTAAACAACATGGTCTCGAAGCTGCAGCAATGGCCGAACATGACCTTCATCTGGAGTGAGGTGTCGTTCTTATCGCTGTGGTGGGACAGGTGAGTGCGAGGCAAATGGCGACATACTCGCCGAGCTTGAAACGGCAAAATTTCAAGGAACCGGGTGTGCGAACCGGGGATCTTTACGGTTAACCCATTTGCATCCTTAAACCGCACACAATGATTACCACTTATCACCAACCGCGGAATAATACGCTCGACGTTCACGTTTTCGCCGATGATGTGCGCGTTAAGGGGACTGGTCAGGGGAGGGTCAAAATTACGGAAAAATCGGTGCTTCTTTTTGATAATATTAGGTATATTTAGGTATATTTACACAACATATGAAGAGTAGAAAAATTTTGTTTATTAACAAATATTCGTATAAATATATGATATTTATAGCTGAAATATACTCTCCTTCTTTTTTTCAAGTTATCGTTTTTGCAGTAATATCTCGGCTCTCGGTGGTCCGCGATCAGAGCGAACTTTAGCTAGAAATCTTGAGGAGGCTTATCATTATCCGGTGAACCACTAGAAAAAAAAATCGAACAAAATTAACAAAATGGCAGCTATTATTAGGAAAAAATTCAAATTTTTCAGTTCTTTTACAATAATAAAATTAATGACTCGAAATGAAATATCTTGACGGAGTTGTTCATGGTTAACCTGAGAGCCACATGAACAAATATTATTGCTTTAAAATTTCAAATCGGTCAGAAGCTCAGTTTCGGAGAAATCACTGCAAAAAGTTGAACAATAACATTTCGAGAAAAACGCGTTTAAAATTTAAATGGACGTATATATTTGTATGAGTGTTTGTTTAAGAACAAAATTTTTCCACTCTTCATATGTTATATAAATATATGTAAAATTTTCATTCTTGCACATTTATTCAGTTCGTCGCGAAATCATTGTCAAAAACAAGCCACGATTTTTCAGTAATTCTGACCCTCCACCATCCCCTTAAACCGCACATAATGATTACCACTTATCACCAACCGCGGAATAAAACCGCTCGACGTTCACTTTTCGCCGATGATGTGCACTAATGCGCGGTGATACAAGCTGACTGTCGGTTGAACGTCTCCGATTATTGGAGTTAGTTGCGTATTTAGAGCTGTGACGCAAATGGGTTAAATCGTGTATTTTGAGGACAATTGAAGGATCGCGCGTAAGCGATTAAAAATTACACAACCGTTTGGACGCGACGCTGGAGCAACGCCCGCGAATTTCTAATCATCCACGGGACTCGAAGTCGCGACGCGCAATTCGATATCGCCCTACCGGTGATATGTTTCCCTTCGAAGACGACTCTCTGGCGCACGCGTTAGCTGGCTTGTGCATTTCTAATTAAAGATAAACGTCGCTTAGTGCATTCGCGTGTTAAGCAAACCGCGATTCTCCGTGCGGGCGTCTCTCGGTGCGGTTCACCGTAAAACGGGGCATTACGGGAAGCGGTATCGCATCTTAAGCGATATTCTAAGAGAGAACGGACGAGGAGAAAGAGAGAGAGAGAGAGAGAGGGGGAGAATGCGACATGCTCCATATATTTCCGACAACGTCCGTCGTTATCGTCGAGATTCGGATTCGCGCGATTCGAAGGCGATCGGAATCTCCCGTCGTCGTCTGTGAAAGACAGGGAAGAGTCTTTAATACGAACGACTACCACTTGACTATGTCCCGTAATCGAATCGATAGTCCTCATCGACGCGCACAGCTCTTTGAGGACACGAGGCCTCTAATGCAGACGTCGCATCCGTAATTAAAGACAAACGTCGCTTCGTGCGCGTTTGTGTGTTTGGTGAAGCGCGCGCGCGCGCGCGTCTCCCACTTCGTGCGGGCATCTCTCGACGAAGAACGGCTCGTCGTGAAATAGGCCATTGAGAGGGAAAAGAACGATACTATCGAGGAAAGAGACCGGCTGGTCCTCGAAGCACTTGGCGTGAAAAAACGGAACGGGAACCCGAGGACAAGGACGGGCGGGTCCTCTTTTTTAACGAGCCGCGCGGAAAAGCTGCGGATGGAGTAGGAATGAAGACAGAGAAAAAAGGAGAAAGAGTGAGAGAGAGAGAGAGAGAGAGAGAGAGAGAGAGGCAGCGAATGAGTGAAAGACGAAGGGGGAGGAGGAGAAGTGTCGCGAGCATGAAAGTAGATTCCGGGAAAAGGGAGCGGATAAAATGATAAGTTCTAGATGAGTTTCACAGGGGAGCTCGCTTTCATTATTCTCGCGGCGCTCGTCCCAAGAACAAAATGGGATCCGAAGGTTTGCTCGAAAGTAATTTTTACTCCATCGAACGACGAGAGCGCGAGAATAGATTCGGCTGCAAATAGCCGAATGCGATTCGCGCGATGCTCCGGGCGAAGGATCTCTCGCGAGGATAAAGCATACAACTGTCCGTGCGAAAATTTTCGGATTAAACATTAACTCTCCTGTCTTTGTGTGCTCGAGTCGCGCCTTCGCAGACTCGATTTCAGCTGCACCTTTGGTGAATCGCGGTAGGTGGGCAGCAGCGCGCCGAGAAAGGTGAATCACATCTTTTCGTTTCCTCTTCTCTCTCACTGCTGACTGAAAGTTTATTTATTATAATATTGATATTATACCAATATTTATTATAATAATACAAGACCTGATTAAGATACAGGAGATGCTTTGGTCGTAAAATTATCTTGAGTATCTGTTAGAGTACTCTTTTGTCTTTCTTAGCGGTTTTACAGTTTGCGGTTAATACGATAATTGATCTTTTCACTTCCAAATTCGATTTATTGTATCATCTTGCGTCGGAATTTCTGCGCGATACTTTAAAGGGCATTTACTCCTCGAATTTCACGTCGAAATATTCGTGGCTCCAATCTCGTGCATAAATATAAAGAGAAAAGAGAGAGAGAGAGAGAGAGAGAGAGGAAAGGAAGCAACCAAGCGCCCTTTACAGCGACGTGGCCCTAAGCCCTGGGAACCGTAAAACGCGGAGGAGAGCCTGCATCGGTATGCATCGCCCGGGTTTCGCCGCGTATAAAAAATTTATTATATCGGCGACGGCGTAGTTTAAACGGACCTGCCGCGGAAGACTCATTCCCAAACGCCCAGTTTGAGCTGGACGTAACCACCTTAGCCTTAGCGAGCTTAAACCAACCTACTGGTCGCCGGGGGAGAGAGAGAGAGAGAGAGAGAGAGAGAACGAGGGAGCAAGGAAATACATAGATATAGGGAGTGAGAGACGTATAGCAGGTGGAATCCGTGGCGGCTTTATGGCTGACATAAACGACGTAATGTGGAAACCACCTTCGAATGGGGAAGGTTATGTAGGTCGTACATAACACTCGGAGGCACAAATCACGTAAATCCAGGCCGGTCGAAATGCGCCGGCGATAAATATGATTTGCGATTCGCGAATTGCGCGGCGGGTGTAAATAAAAAAAAATTATATTATATATGCGCATGGGGGAAGAACGCGGGCGTGCGCGCGGAAGGCGCGTCACGCGCGAGAATGAATAAATCCGCCGGTTGATCCGGCGCCGAGCCGGGATTGCTCGTAATGGTGCGGAAGCGCGCGATCATTCGTACGCGCTCGGAGCGCGACGCTCGAGCTCGAGCCCGTAGTAAGTAGTAGTAAGCCTCACACCTCGGCTTCACTCGGCAATTCGTCGAATTTTGCAGTGCCCATCCGACGAAGAAGATGGTGGTGAAGAGACTGGTCAAGGACGGTCGACTGGAGATGACCACAGGCGGCTGGGTGATGACCGACGAGGCTACTTCCCACATCTACGCGATGTTGGACCAGCTCATTGAGGGTGAGTGCCTCAGATTTTACCGGATGTCATTCGTTAGCGAGGGGTGAGAATGATCTTGCGTTTACTCGGAAATGAAGGAACGACCGAGGGGAAATTCTTTTCTTTTTCTCTTCCTTGTGTGCCAAGCATGAAGAAGAGAAAACCTGTGGATGTGTGCAAGTTTGCGTGAAATACTTGGAATAATCGTTCAGTATTATTAAACATTTATTCGTCCGCGCGAGAGAATCAAATTTTTTCTAAAAAAATTTCTCTAAAAAAAAAGTTCTTTTGAAAAAAGAACTCCTCTAAGAAAAAAAAAGTTCTAAAAAAGGAAATTCCAAATAAAAAAATCTTCGCGTCGTTGATATCGCGCGAAGAGCACTGAAACGCGCGTCGAAGTCGTTAAAAAACTATCGATCGCAACGCGCAAGGAGAGATCCGCCGAAACGACGGCGGCGGGAAAGCCACGGTGGCGAAAGGAGACGCCTCTCTTCCTTCCTCCGTCGTAAAAATCAGCTGGCGCTTTAAAACACTCTATCGACAGGCGAAAGGACGTCGGGATTCCGGCGACCGACCAGGTAGGAGGTAGGTCGGCAGGATATCCCTGCTCGTTTGCTAGCCAAGCGTCGGCCAGCAGGAAGCAATAAGGATCCCCGATGCGCGCGGAAGGAAGAAGATTCGAGTGGATGGAAAGGATTTCTCGTCCCGCCATGCGGACGAGGGAGCGATGGAGGAGGAAGGAGGAAGAGGCGATGGGGGAGAAGGAGGAGACGGGAGAGTAATAAGGCGACGGGTGCAAGCGGGTTTCTCCGAGGAAAATTGCTCTCCTCTACGTCGTCTGCTTCGTCCTCGCGCGGAGAGTCGTCTGATTACGACCTCCCTTGCCTGCTTCTCTCTCTCTCTCTCTCTCTCTCTCTCTCTCTCTCGCTTCAACCCTTCCTACCTTCGTCGGCCGCGATGAAGGGAAAAGGATCCTTCTCGCTTCGTCGGTTTAATGTTACCGCGAAAGATTTTACCGCCCTCGTGAAATTTCAGTCGGCGTTGATTACCTTTCCGCGGCTGTACCGCCCGGATATCATCGCGCACGACGGCCTACTGCGTTCTCCTCGGCCGCCACCTTCCCCCGCCCGTCCTCTCTTGCCGCCGGCTCTCCCCCGTTTCCGCAGCCTTCCGCCAGCCGGAGAAGGGAGAGATAGCAATAACTATTATCGTACGTATGTCGCGCGCATAGCCGGCTGCGCCCCCGCAAGGATTACCCCTAATGGCCGTGCAGGATGTGCGCTGCGGCTCCGCACGCCGCAACGCAGTCAGCTACGCAATCGGATACGCAACGTGACGGGCGACGAGCGGAATTCGGGTCGCTTCGCGCCGGCGAATTTCCACCGCGCCTAATCGCCCCTTTCCCCGCGCTGCTTCGCCGTCGTTGCGCGAGACGACGTCGACATCGTCGCCGTGTAATTCTCTCTCTCTCTCTCTCTCTCTCTCTCACCTCGAACGACCCTGAAAGCATCGCATCGCGTTACTTTCCTCTCCTCTCCCCCGACTCCGGTTCGCACGTTTGACGTCGCAGGTCGCGACGACGCGGTGGCCGACGGTGTCCAACAACCGACGTCGTCCACATGTACGATCATTAACGGGGGTCAGGTACGACAAAGCGTACAGCGTGTTATGACCCGTCCTCGCGCGCGGTTTCCACGCGCGCGAAACGTACAAGTGACACGAGGGCCCTCGTCCTGGAGTGGCCGCCCGCCCCGCCCGCGCCCGAATAATGCACTCGCTCCTGCTGGCGTTTTGCTCGCAGCCGCGCGCGCGTTGGCACGAGCATATAATCGTCCGCGGATCTAACAGCTTGTTTTTGCGCGCCGCGCCGGTGTGCTCATTGCGAGAATCAAATCCTGCCCCATTTATCCCGCGCCCGCGGACGTGGACCTGCCGCCGACGACGACGACGATGACAATGAAGACTGCGACGAGGACGCCGACGACGACGAAGACTGCGACGAGGGCGAGGGCGCGACGGTGTGTTCAGCCGTGCGCGGACGTTTAATGTATACCCGCGCGTTTCGCGCCAGCCTGCTCCCGTCGTAAATAACAATTTTTCTCCCCGTCACGCGAATATTTCTATTTACCTCTCTCCGTATACCCGATGGACGTGCGCGGATAATTTTTTTTTTTCTATATCGAAAAGGTTTATATTTGCAGTCGTTCTAGTTTTTAGAGGGAGAGAGAGAGAGAGAGAGAGAGAGAGAGAGAGAGAGAGAGACGGCGAGCGTTGTAATACCCTCGAAATGTTGTATCTCATTGTTTTCCGTTCGTATTTGCGAAACGTATACGCCGCTGCGCGTTGTACGAAAATAAATATCCCGATGAGACGAATATGAGAAAGATGCTCCGTGCGGAGGATGCGATATTTATCGCGAAAAATGTATCGAGCGCGCGCGCTCTTCCGGCCGGCCTGATGAAATCTTGATCGCGGATTTACGGTGTAACGCGACGTGCAATCAATGCACATTGAAAGCGCCGCTAATATTTTGGCGAGTACGCGCTCCGTTGTGCGGTCGTGTTGCTGTTTGTAAGAGAGGGATCGCCCCTCCCCCCTCATCCCCCCGTTCTCTCCGCTCTCTCCGCCCTCCACCTCACGCACCCTCGCGAATCGAGGCGGGCGAACGAGTGGAGTGCGAATTATGCAACGTTTCAATAGCGCGCGACGCGCGCGGGGAACGCGCGGGGGTCACTTTATGGCGATTCCGCGGCGAAATACGATTTTGCGGCGAGCGCATTAAATCGAAATAACGCCGCTACGGTGTATTAACTCCTAATTATTAGGCTACTGAATATGTATGCGCGACGTGTTCGCGCCTAGAACACGCTAAATTGCCAAGTTCTCGCCGCGACCGTTAACGACCGCCCCGGCCGGCGTTGCGCGCGACCGGATATCCGATATGTATTTTCGGCTGCATTACAAGCCGAGCGCTTCATCGAAAAATACCCGACGCGGATTCTCGCAGGTCGTAGCAGGCGCACGCGCGCTCTCGGCTTGTAAACGCGCTCAACATACGAAAATCCGGCGCGTAATCGACGATTCGCCGCGAATGCGGCCAAAAGGCGGCGAAACGGTCGATCGAAACGGAGGATCGACGAGAACGGCGAGAACGTCACCGGTCGAAACGACGCGTGCAAACAGAAGCAACCCGGTTCGCTCCTGCGACGGCAGAATGCTCGGCGGCGAGAGGTTCCTCATTTTAACGCCCGCGCCATTACGACATGGACAAAGTCGAGCCCCGGCGTCGTAAGGAATTCGTTTCCGAGAACTAACGGAACAATGGCGAGCTCGTCACTTCTCATCCGAACGACGGCGGCTGTAACGACGCGCGCCGAGAAGTCTCGCCAGCGTGCGATAAGATGTCGCACTTTTGCGATATTTCCACGAAGAAATGGATCGTGCCTCGCATCGCGTCTCCGTATTCCCTTGAAATGTTGCGCGCGTTGCGCCGGTTCGTTCAAACCACCCTTCCCCCCCCCCCGCCGCCGCCGCCGCGGCCACCGCCTGCTCCTCCCCAAGAGAATCGCGCGGTCTCTCGTATTTCTCTTCTCTACCGGCCCGGTTATTTCTCGACAGTAAAGTACAGTCTGCGTAATTTCCACAATAATAACAAACGAGACACGTGCGCGCGCGCCTTGCAGCCCGATCGGGACGAATGTCCCGTTTTATAAACGCATCCTCCAGGCGTTCGGTTCACCCCCCCTCCCGTGCGCGGCGAGCCAGGGTGTCGTATTAAATCCGGTCCCTCGGCTTTTTCTCCCGCCGCTTGTTCCTCCTCTTTCTCGTGAGGGAAATTAATTTCGCGCGAACGTTCAGGCGCGTCACGACAAGACAACCGCCTACCTTAGACACGGCTCCAGTTCCTTCGCTCGTGTTTCACGGCGCGCGAACAAAGGAACGATCTTTTAATAAACGACCGAGTATTAAACGTAATCCGGCCGCGTGCCGCGGCGAGCGGCGATAATATCGGCGGAGCGAGACGAGACGAGGCGAGGCGAGGCGAGGCGAGGCGAGACGAGGCGAGGCCGACCCTCCCTCCTTGAAACCGCGCCTTTCTCACGCCGATCATCGGGGCGCGGCGCTCCCTCGAGATACGCTCCTAAGGATCCATTGCAAATATCGCCGGATAAAAGCGTTTTACGGGCCGCGTCGTATCGCGGAGGCTCTAAATTCCACCCCGGACTCGGCTCGAAAGAGAGAAAGAGAGAGAGCGGCTCGTTCCATCGTGCGTGTAAGTACACGCACACACGCGCGCGCGCGCGCGCACACATACACGGGGGGCACTAAACGCCGGCGAGTGCAATCGAAGAAAAGTAGCCGCGCGCGATATTACGCCATCGAGATATACTCCTCTCATGGCGGAATACTCGCGCCGAGTGTCCTCGCGGCGAGATGCGGCTGGCATCTCTCTTTCGGTTACACCGCGATTACATCTGTCGGGACCTGCCGGCCGCGCTCTTCCGCTGCCTCCGCGACAAATGATACCGCTCGTTACCGAGTCGCAGCGAATAATTGCGCGAGTCCGATGAGCGCGTCGTCGGGAAAGCGGTAACCGCGATGACGCCGGCGAGAATGACGAGAATTGATTTTTGTCGTCGACGAGCGACTCTCTCTCTCTCTCTCTCTCTCTCTCTCTCTCTCGCTGTCTCTCTCCGCCTCTTCGTGAAGGCAGAACGGTCGTCTAATGGCTCGTCGAGCGCTTCGGGACTCGCGTACAGCCGGTGTCATTTGCATCGAAATGGCGCGACACTATGCGCAATATCCCGCGTCCTGTTTTCCCGAATTCAAATCCGCCAATTTCCGAACGGGCGCGTCGCGTCCTCCGCCGCGCCGTATCGCGTACGTATGTACGTACGAAGTTCGCACGGCCGGTTATTATCGCAGCGCGCGAGCGCGCGAGCGAGCGGCTATTGTTGGCACGGAATAGTTACGGTTATGGCTTTCGACGGCCGCTCTCCGAGAGACGAGCGGCGCTTTGA